AAGAGTTTCTCATCAGGTCAATATTTCAACCTGTGGATCAATTAGGTTTTTATTTTGTTTATTTATTTATTTATTTTAACAAACAGGAATTCCTTGCCGTGTGCTGGATGCCGTTAATTGGATCGGCCTGCCACTCACTGACGAGTCTGCCGGGGGTTTAACAGCGACGAAGCTCGGCCGACCTGTCCGATCGCGTTTATCTCTTTTCCGTCACAGCTGGGGCAGTCGGTGGGATTATTGGCACGGGTGCCGACGTCGTTGATAAAGGAGGTTTTGTCATTAGAGGAGCAGTATTAGAGTTGAGGCTCATGTTTTTCCACCGGGGACACGACTACCGATTGGATCTGACGTTTATATAATGCAATGAAACACATTCGGTAGCGGCGCTCGTGTTATCCTGAAAAATACCTGAATATCCCCAGCCAATGTGAGAGAATCAAATTGGAGTGTGACTTGAAAAGAATCGCAGATGTAAGCAAAAGTTATGATCTGAGAAAAAAAGTTGCCGTGTGCAAGTAAAAGAAAAAAATTAAATCTTCATTGAGTAGTCATATAGTTAAGATAAATATATTTTATGTTAGGAAAAAAGTTCAAACTGTTACAAAAAATTGGTCTGAATGTTGTTATTATTTAAATTGAAATGTTACAAGTAAAAAAGCCATAGAAATGAATATTAAAATTCAAAAGAAAAATCGACCATAAAGAATTGTGGCTTTTGAGTGCGCTGCATTTAAAGGGAATAAAAGGAGCCACTTTTTTTGGCCATGATGTGGGTGTGCTGTGAACACTCCCACAGTGGCGCAGACCTCTTGCAGACCCGCTGTCCTGCACTCGCCTGCAAAACGACCAACATCGGGTCGAACCTGCCTCCTCACACAGTTGTGTCATGCAGGATTGGCGACAGGCGTGAAAATTGTCTTTAGTATTTGATAATTAAGTTGTAAAGTTTCTTGAAAAACGCATAAAAAAGTGTCAATGATTTTCTTCCACGATGTAAAAGACAAAAGTAGTTGGATAATTTTTAACGCATAATTCTCACCAACGATGTTTTAAAAAATAAAAAATAAAAAAAACGATAAATCCATCATTACCGTACTGTTTTTATGGCTTTGAACAAATCCATTTCAAAAGCTTCCACAGGTCCTGCTAAAGCAAGTGTGAAAATGTCAAATATGTATTGTGCAGATGTGTAAACAAGTTCAAATTGTTTTTGAAAGTCTGTGTGGAATAAATTGGGCAAAGTGCCTGCATGGACGCCAGTTTGAGCCGCAGTCACGCTGACAGCTGTGGCAGCCGCGTGGGAAACCGGGAAGCTCTAATTGAATGGAAAGGCACTTCCATTCCGGCTGCTTCTTTTTCCTGTCAGAAGGCATGTATGTATATATAGAAGTTAGTGGGTGAGCTGAATGGTGCAACCACTTAGTAAAACCATTCTAAAAAAACACTGCAATTTAAATCTGTAATCTGCAATTTAATTGGAAATTTAGAAGTTCCCGAAATCAAACATTTTGGGCTTTTTCACCTTGCTAATGGCCGTGACGTATGCTACACGTGTCTGGGACCGCGCTGTGTGAACCGTGGAAAATTTCCCTGATCTCGCCTATGAGGATTTTTTTTTGGGCCTCTTTTTTTTTTTTTTTTTTGCAACTCTGAAGCCGATTCTGTCAGAAGAGAAACAAGCTGGGACGCATCGAAACGTATAGCAAGACTATGGCTATACGGCACGAAGACTGCTACGTCTCATGTGGATAAAAATCGGGGGGGGGGGGGTTATAAGGTCGCATCAGTCAAGTCAAAATGTGGAGAGAAAATAGTGTTGGGAGAAAAAAAAAAGTTTGCAAGAAGAAAAATCAGAATAGCCAATGGAAAGAGTTCGCATTAAAGCACCTCACTCTTCCCACTTTTAATGATAGGTATTCCAATACATTCTTGGAAGTTAAGTCAACTGTCAGTCACAGATTTTTTGTGGGGGGGGGGCGAAAAAGTTTTTCTCCAAAGTTCCACATGTGTGATGTCGGTGCTGTTCCGGGCCCATTACTCTCCTTTTGAAGCCGAGTGTGAAATGGGCTTTAAACCACTTTGGCTGCTCGCAGCTACATTAGCGACTGCCGTGAAAAGGACGTCTTATCTGTTTGGCTGCAAATGAGCAAAGTCATTATTGCGACTTTTTGGGGTTCAGCGAAATGCGGCCCAACTCAGAATCCTCTCAAAGTCGGTGCAGCACGGGGGGAATTGAATGCAGCCGAGGGGAGCGGGAGGTGGGGGGGACACACCAGAGGGCACCTTCCACAATCCTGTCACCGGCTTCATTTGAAATTATCTGCTGAAGTACAAAACAACAACAGAAAAGCCTTGCTAGTTCCTCACGCCCTTGCGGATAGTTCATTCGGTCATTTTCAAAAGTGCCGGAAAACGTACTGTGCGGGATTCACAACTAAAGGTGAATAAATGCTCCAAATCGGCAAAGGCACCAAGTCTGTAGCTTTTTGTTGACATGTAAGGTTACAAACAAGTGCTAAGCTTGTGTGAAGGTCTTTACGAAATAGCACACTGTTGAACGGACTACAGTTTCAAAAAATAAACAATACCAGGAATGGGTGACTTAATGTGCTTCAAACGAACTGTCAACGGTTCATGGGAAGACTAGAAATTGCTGTTGTTTTTACACACTTTTGTACTTTTTGTATTCGCGTCCGATTCCCAGGATGCATTGCGCCGTGCAATGCTGAACTTGTTCCGCGATCAGTTATTAATCCTTGTTTAAATGTGTTATGTTGGGCGTAGTACGTGTGTCTGGATTAACTGTCACGTTAAGTGTAAATTGCGCGTTGTAAACAGGAAACTGTAACTTGGCCGAACGACGGCCGTCGCTCGTCAGTGATCAGTCACTACAGTCAGCAGCTGTTCAAAAGCTGTTTTAATCAGTCTTAATGTCACATTTGCGCATCAGACACTACAGTGTATTCTTCTGGACGTCTGGTCAGCCATTTTGGTTTTAATGACTCTTTACTGACAATGGCTGATGACACACTCGTGTTCTCTGTCGTGCCTGTTGCACAAATTTTACATACAGTCTCATGCATATTGCAGAAAACAGCTTTTGAGTAACTGTCCGGTGTAGTGACATTTATTTAAAAAGACAAAATATGTTACTCTATTCAATTCTATTCAATGATGTTACATTAATTGTAGCACATTATATTGCATTCAGCTAATTGGTTCGGGGGGACCTTCGAAGCAACTAAAGAGCCATCCAAGCGCCGTCAATCATTCCTCAAGTGTGCCTAATGTGAGGGGAGGTCCTCTCCCAGCCAGGGGAGCATGCCCCCCTTTAATTACAAGTGCCGGACAAATGTCACCTGTGGGGGTTCGGCCGTCATGCGTTTGTGTTCTATCGGCCTCCGGCGGCGGGGCGGGCTTCTCAGCCCTTTCTCTCTCCCTCTTTCAATGTCACTATCTCTGTATGTTTCTTCGGGAGATAGAAAATGACAGCGTCCCCACTCTCATCTCATCTGGCTCTCAGGAAACTGTCTGCCGTGATGAATCATCTCATCATGCGGAGATGGAGAAGACGAGGGGGCGGCAGCAGTACACACATTTCCTGTTTGTACGATTTGAAAGGCGCCCTTCTTGCCTATTAAAAAAAAACCCCAAAAAAACAGTATACAACGGTGTCTTGATCTACGAGTTCGTTCAAAACATAGGCCGTAATTCAGCTGGAAATTTGCGAGCGCAAACTTCAGTGGACTGTACAGTGGAAGTGAGCTCATCTCAACTCACGTCTCAATCAGCAGCGCTTTGACGAAATTCTTTTTTAAAAAGCTGCTGTTTATCGTCTCTCCCGGTTGAAGTTTACTGTCAAACTAAACACAGAGGAAAAAGAATTACACGCTGTGTATTCGAAACCAAACGGCTGCCAAAGGGAAAGGCAACATACAATGGAAAATTCCATTTACATGCTAACGATTAGCATCTTATATGGCAGTTTCAGAGCTGTTTAAGCAGAGGATACTTGAAGCAACACATGTTGACAGACAGCATATATTCTTTTTCCTCTGCGAGGAAAAGACCGACTTTAATCACTGCAGCGTTTTGAGCCAACGAGAATGTGAATACAGACAGGCGATTGTTTTCTTCAATTGTTTGTGTGACTGTATTATACTACCCCCTGGTGGCCGAGGTGGGTACACCAGAAGGAGCAGTATTAGAAGCATTAAATTGCGATGCATTAACTCTTTCACTCGTCCACATTTTTTAGTTTGGGGGCGCTGGAATGGATTTGTGGCATTTGCATTCATTTCAATGGGGACTGATGATTTGAAACATGAGCATTCGAAGTGACAAGCCTGGCCACAAAACGACTTCAGCTTGTATCTAAAGGCACCACCGTATGTGCCAACTGTTAGCATCTTAGAATTTGATCATTTCTCTTGTGATATTGTGCCCAATACATGAATATATTGTCAAATCTTTCTCAGCCATAGCGCTTTCTGTCCTCAGGTTCCTATCTTGCTATATGTTAGCATACATTTGAAATCGTACCCAACCTCACTGCAAGATGGAAAACCCCTGAGCGACGTACGTTAGCATAGCAAAGCACAGTTTTATCAATTTTCTTTCTTAAATAGGATCTGGTTTCATGCATTATGTAAAATCCCTCTCGAGCTGCCTCAATGCGTGTTGCGCTCGCATCGCTCTCTTGCAACGGTACATATTAGCGGAACAACTGTTTGCATATTAGCATATCATACGTGTTTATTCAAAAGTCTGACGAGCATTTTATGAGTTCTCTTCTGAAGTAAAATCCTTTTTGATCCTCCTTAGAGCTTCATGTATTCGGGTCGCCGTCTTGCTATCGGTTAGCGTACCAACAGTTAACAGGTTCGAAGTTTCTAGCCTCAGAATGTCCTTTTTACTCCGCGTTGGAGCTTTGATGAGACAAATTCCGTTTTATGTTCCACATTAATCAGTGTGCTCCTGTTGCTCCTCCTCCTTTGCAGTGCATTCGACACCCCCCCCCCACCCCCCGGGGGGTACGGTTCTTGCCCGGTCGGTGGCGTGTTCAGAATGGGAGCTTCTTAATTAGGCCTCTGATGCTCCAATCAAGATGTAATGACGGCCATGTCTCTGCAGAGGTGAGCTGACTGTTTAGTAATCCACCCCCCCCCCAACATATGAACATATGTGTTTGAAAATATGTGCGTGAAAGGTGTGTGTGTGGTCAGTCACCAGGTTGCTCTGTTGCTCTTTGTTAGGATAGCAATAGTTAGCGTGTTAGCATTCTATTAGGAAGCACATATTTTTATTCCACGACATATTATTTTAGTGCTTCAGGTTCAGAGTGAATATCAATATTGTTAGAATTCTATAGATGAACTCCCCCCCACAATCCCCCCTAGAGCCCGCGGCAAGATGAAATGTTTGCTCGAGTGGCAGCTTTTGATGTAGCATATATAAATCCAATCAGATGACTTGGATGTCGCATGGCACTTGAAATGTGAGGCCTGTGGTTGTAAAACAGATGTAATCGCGATGGCCCTTGTGGAAAAACTCACACATGGATGTCTTCATCGCCAAGCTGCTCCTCCCACGCACTTGTCGTCTTCCTCGCGCGAGATTGATGCTTTCCTCATCTTGACATGGGCCGGGCCTCTTCGTCACGCACAGAACCGCCACTGTGTGGTCTTTGGAGTCGTGCTCGGATCAATTGTAGAATTGCCTATCCAAATACACATACACAGCAGTGCCGTAGGAGGAGGAGGACGACAGCTAATTTTCATGTGTTTCCATGTAAACTTAATTAAAAAATAATAAAAAATAAATAAATACAAAATTTACTGACGAGAAAACCATCATGGTAGTTCTCCTCCTGTTACTTTTTGTCCGCCTTTTTGTAATGGCCGCCCCCGACAGCGCCAGAGTGGAACATTCTTGACCGTGTGTTGTTTTTCCCTACATAGTCAGAACCCAATTTTTGTGGTTGTTGTTGTAACATTAATTCTCATTACTTTAGCGCACCAAATGGCAGTTCTAATACCAACCGCGAGAAGCGATAACAAAATTAGCGATGAAGGAAAATACGTGTAACCAAAAACATGGTATCTGCTAGCGTAAAACAAGAAAGATACAAAGGACAAAGCGTCTAACTGACCGCTATACTGCCACCTACAGGACATGAGTGGAAAGTTAGACACTGGTGCTAATGCTACTGCTATCTGCAAGCGTATAACAAGAAAACCATGAAGTATAACACATGATAGCAACCACTTTGAGCTAATGCTACATGCGATCTGCTTGCAGAAAACATCTCACTGACCGGGTTACTGCCACCTACAGGACTGGAGTGGAATATTATCCACCGGTACGAAGTAGACCTTTGAGCAAAAAAACTAATAAAATAGCCGGGTGTCAATGTCCCCAACTCGTTGACAAGGGTGAGTCAACAAACTTTGAAAAAAAGTGTCCTAATGATGCCACGGTAGTGTTGAAGAGGTGTCTGGTGATGGATGGGGAAGCTTTAGCTGTCTTTTGGAAAAGCAGTCATTAGCTGCAGAGATTGGGATGAATGGCGCTTTTATGTCAAGGTGTTCTGGAAGGGTAGAAAACAAAGACGGCGGCTCCCCGCGGTCGTATGCCAAAGTGAAGACGGGACCCCCGGAGAGTGACGTTTGATTTGCTTTAGGATGACATCATCAGAGATTGAGGATTAAGAGGCCCGAGGTTAAATGAACGCAAAAGAGTTTCAGGAGGATGTGCAAAAGTTTTCCCTCTCAAAGTTAACAGTTAGTGCCTTATTGATGGAATCTGCTCACCTTGGAAGGTGACGGAACAGGAAGTGACATCCTGCCTTTATGCCACTCCAAAAATGTTTTGGACATAAATTGAACAGGAAGTTATCCGTTTTAGTTTGAAGAAAACATTTTGGCGGTGGATTGCAGGAAAACGGCTTCTAAAGTTTGGAAAAATTATCCCCCGTTCATATATTCACTGAGTGACATCAAATTTGGTGGATATGTTCCTCATAACAATACCCACAAAAAAGTCTCAGGCTGTCCATGCCCAAAATTAAACAGGAAGTTGTCCATTTTGGTTTGTAGCACTGAGTTACCTCTTTTAGCGCCGTTGACAAGAAATGCCTTCAATGGGAATTCAAACAAGGAACTCCGCCGACGTCAATTGCCGTCAGCTATGTTTTTTTTTATTTTTTTTTTTTTAAATAAAGTCTTGGCCAATTCTTATTTGTTCATTTAGCAGGAAAAGTTAAAAAACAAAAACAAAAAAAACATCGACTATGGCGAGCAGATGGCAGCATTGGATCTCACCGTGTGTTGTAAAAATGTGTAAGCTCCTAAAACCTGGTGGACTGTCGGAAATGCGACTGTTACAAGCAGCTTGTGAGTGATCAAAGTGTTTCTCGTGTTAACAAAGACTGTCACAAAAACGAGATGACTGAGACTATTTAAATTTTGAAGTAGAAGCGATGAGGTAATGCACGTACACACACACACACACACACACACACACACACACACACACACACACGCACACACACACAGGCGCACCACATGCATGGCACGCATGCACACACACACGCTACTAAATACTATGACTACTACTAAATAGCGTGCAAATAGTTTGTAAAGTTTCTCAAATCTAAAATTGTTACGCTGGTGATTCATTGTAAATACATTTTCTATCAAAAGCACATTTTCATTGTTGTTGATATTTTATAGAAGAAAAAGACTGTTGAGATGTTTGAGGCATCACTAAAGCAACAATTATTAGCATCGAAAGCCCCTAACCTACCGAGTGTTTGCGTCTATAGCAGATGTTGATTTTTATTTTTTTCCATTACGGTTTGTTTAAGGTCGCAGTTGTAAAGATGTTGGCCAGATGTTCTGCAACAGTTTTAACAATTGCGAATTTTCTTTTTGTTTTGTTTTTGTTTTTCTTCTCTTTCAGTTTTTTCTTGTCTTTGCAGTTCCTTGAGGTTTTGCCTTTAAAAGGGGTGGCGCGAGGGACCCGTTCGTCGCTGCTGGGGCCTTTAATTATGATTAGACTTTATGATTTCCTTGTCTTGAAGGCATTTCAAACAGTTCATCCCAAGTTTTATTTGTTCTTAGAATTGAAAAGGCTGTACCGTATATGCGCATAGATCCGAGCCACATTCATCCTCCACTCATTCGTCAACTATTTGGAAAAGCGGCGAGAGAGCAGGGGGGATGGGGATGAGAGTTGCCGCCGGGGCCGCTTTGCTACACTTCACAGGCAGCCATCTAATTACTTTTCTTCCTAACTAACTAACGAGGACTCTCAGAACAGCAGGGGGAACAACAAATATCTAAAGGGCCCCGGCATAATCCCCCCCACACGGTATATATGCTCTTTCACAAAGTATAAAATAAGAATCAAAAAGAAAGTCAAGCGGCTGGTGATACACAGCATCTACAATGAAGCCCGGTTATTTGTAGAAGTTTGGGACCAAGCACCGACATGAAAAGTGCGTTATGGTTGCCCTCTGACTCTTAAAATATTGCATATGTTAAAAAGTTGGGCAAAGTCAAAATTTCAAAACAAACTTTGAAAAATACAGGCATGTATTCTTTATCCTCTGTGAAAACAACAAATGTTATTGCATCTTAGGTGAGACACTCTTCTTCTGCGTTTCATCACTGAATCTGTGTGTCGTAAATATACATTATCCTGCCCCCGGTAGCACGGTGCACACACCCGAGCGAGCTGCAGGATGCCCTTTGGATTCGCATGATGCAGCATCTTTCTATTTAAATTTGTTGTTACTGTATATTTTCATAAAACCTAATACTGAAGAGTGCCGTTTTTATGACTATTGAAAAACATTTGTCGCCGGAACAGATTAAAAGCATTTCCACTCATTTCAATAGGAAAAGATGATTTGAGATCAGATTTTTTTTTTGTGCGTGTGTTTTGAGTGCGACCACGGGATGATTCAAAAGAAAGAAGTCAAGGCATCTTGTAGGTGCGTTTTGCAAATTGTGAGTCACGAATCGGCGGTGACTCACTTTTATGTCTATACACTCAGCTATTAGTTACATTTAATTTCACACCACATAAAGTTGGCTGTCATTATCCCCCCCCCCCCCAACCACCCCACACTGTGAAACGTGCTCAAGAGCTCGTCAGCCGTGGAATATGCGATACCTCCGAATTATTGGAAATCAAATCATGAAACAATAAAGCCCATCTGCCTGTCGTCAGCCCACCCACTCACTCACTCGCTCACTTGTCTTAAAAGCAACCTCTGTTATCATTCCGTCCTCGTCTTAATGCGTCTCCAGATAAGCCACGAGAGCCGTTGGGTTGTTTTTTTCCAAATGGAAGTGATTTGTTTCTTTCCTCCCTTGCCGCCGTTATCTTCAGCTGCTTGTAAAAGGAGGGAAAATTTTTTACTGGTGTCTAATATGTAAAGTGCAGCATAAAAGCATCTAAATTAGCGTATAGCACACGTCAATCCCTGCAAATGTGACATTTATAGTCAGCCGACGTCCCGGAATGCAACAAATGACTCAAACGGAATGAATTCCTGCCTCAAAAAAACGGCAATATTTCAGGCCTCCGATTTGGCGAAGTGTACGAGTGAATGGCTGACTGTGATGAAAGTCGCAAAACGGGCTGACTGATGACAGGACGCGGCTGCCGCTGTCCATCATCTGCACTCACTGGACAGATCATTAGGTACAACTTATGACGGTCAGTACAAGAACGTACGAAGGAGAATGCGTGCAGGGCGGGGAAAAAAAATGTTCGAAAAAGTACTAAAGACACAAGAATAATTTTATCCATATTCTCACTACCACACTGCTTTCGCACATCACACATTCCCCCACTGCCTTGATACCAAGGAGTTGCACGAAGCCCTTTATTATTTTATTCATTTTTGTTTTTTAAGAAAAAAAAACCCACCAAAAATGTCTTTTTACGTCTTGGCACTAAATGGTAGGGTTTTTGCAAATGTATTTTTACATTTCGGCACTGAATGAGTTCGGCGTTCACTATGACAACTTCACAAATTTCTACCCAGCAATTGTGGCGTAATTGGTCAGCTGTAATTTTCTGGCAAAATATTTTGGGGGAAAAAAAAAAGAGCTCAACAAATATGACGGTGTGTAAATAAATGCCTTGAAACACCGCC